ATTTCCTCATTAACTGCACATCTGCATAATTTTTAAATATTAAATTTACTTTTTACACACTTCTATTATTTAAAAATTGACCTATCATATCAATATATGTGATCAGAAAAAAGAAATTGATGAAAAAAAAAATAAATTGTTAAAAAGCATATGACCACAAGGGAAAAAAAGAGAATGAAATGGAAAATATGCAATCAACAAAACTTTATAGAAAATAAAAAAATAATAATATGGTCAGTCTTAATAAAATAAAATGATTAGAAAAAAAAAATACTAAATGAAAAAAGGCAAAATAAACAATTGTCATAGAACAAAAAGAAAAAAATAGTATACTTCTGTGAATTGTTTTTTGGAATAGTCATTTGAGTCTTTTTTTTTTTTTTTGGCTGGAAAGGATTCAAAAATTAGGGTTTCATTATAAATTGCAAAATAGCACTAGTTTATAATTTGGGTAGAGAAAAAAATCATCAATTTCTTTTTTATTATAAAATTTAGTAAGTGTATCATTATTGTCTTTTTCGTTATTTTATGTGAGAGTCTTTTATAATAAAAAGTTTTAATTAAAAAAGATACGGAAAAAAAAAATGTGTACGTGAATAGAACTACCTTATTATCAAAACGGCCAGCCATTACATTTTTGTAATTAGTCGCAGATTGCATGAGTACTTTCCATATATGATTATGAGTATTAGCCATTGGGACGTAGAATGGATAGTTCCTGTTTTTTTAATTTCTTTTTTGATTTCGATGTTTTCGTCTTTAGAACATAGACATTTAGAGGGGAAAAAAAAAAGACAATACCTTTTTTTTTTAACCCAAAAGTAGACAATAATTCCTTTATATATATATATCAAGCAAGGATTTATTTTAGAAATTTACTTTTAAAAATTTTAATTACAAATCTACCACTACTTTTGAGCGTGCTAAGAACCACTGTTTCTTCCTTTTCTTCTTCATCCTCACAATCGTCTAAAGTTGTATTGAATGAGAAGTCATTCTCAATAAAACTGGAATAAGAATTTAGGCTTGCTTTCTCTCTTGTGGTCCCCTAAGTCGTCAGTAAGGCAAAATTTTAATCAAGCATTAAAAAAAAAAAAAAAAAATCTGACTGCTACCATAAAAGCTGAGATTAAATTGTCACAGAAGAAAAATAAAATCATTAAACAAAAGCAGAAACTAGAATCATAAAAAAAAAAATTTAAAAAGAAAAAATTAACTAAAGCTCATACAAAATATCAAACTCTTATGAGAAGGTGTCTATTTACAGGCAACAAGATATTCCACAACTATAGTTTCTCATACTAATCCCAAACCTACTCGCATTTGATATATTAATCTAACCCAAATCCGCAACTATAGCTTCTCTTTAATTCCACTATTTTGCTAGTTGGGTCATAAACGGGTCATAAACATATTTTTTTCGTGTCGGCCCGTCACGGCACGTTTAGTGATCGTGTTCACGTGTCATGTCGTGTTAACCGTGTTATTAGCGTTTCGTGTTCGTGTTTGGGTTTCTGACACGTTTATTAATCGTGTCGTGTTCGTGTTCACTATAATTATGTCGTGTCATAATCGTGTCGGCCTGAACACGACACGCGAACACGAATTACCAGCCCATTATTTACTAATCCTAATCCTACTCACGTACTAAAAATGAGAAAAAAAAATCCTAATCCTACACACATTTGGATATACTAATTGTACCCACGCCCAGATACAAACTGTGATGAAGCTAAAAATTTATGTCGTGGGGCCTAATAATTAAAACAAAACTTTGATGAAACTATAAGATTAACTTATAAATTTTTTAATATAATGTAATACATATTTAGATTTGTAAGATTTTACATATAAAAGATTATTACATCAAGCTCTCAAGGCAGAAGCCTCAAAAGAGATCCAAGCAAGTTGAACAGTGATTTTAAGTGATCTGAAGCGATAATTGCAACTCTGTCACTTAACTGTTAAGATATATGACATAAATAAATCTTAAAATAACAAATACCATGCACATTCATACACATACGTATAAAGTAATTAATGAAAAAAAAAGAAGAATAAGACAGATAAATACAGATTGAGTTGAGAACGACTCTATGTTGCAATTGTTGTTGTTCAACAACGCCTTTAAAATTATCACGAAGATTAGCAGCAACAACAGCAACATAAAACCATTCTCAATAAACCTCAAAGAAGAATTCGAACCTTCTATTTTTTTACAATAAAGAAGAATTCGACCATTAACACGACAAAAGATTTTAATCAAGCGTATTTAAAAAGAAACAAAAAAAAGAAAAGAAAAGAAACAAAAAAAAAAATTTGACTAGCTTAGCTATATCTTAAAAGGCATACAAAGGGCTCGTTCTTTTGAGTGAAAAACTCAAAAAAATGTAACTCGAATTACAATTTTATTCGAGTTTATGTTCTTTTAAGTTTGAACTCGAGTTTGTGACTAAACCTCGAGTTCAAGTTTTCCCTTCAACTCGAGTTCAGAAACTCGAACTCAAATTAATGAACAATGTTTTTTCTATTCTTAAAAATGCTATAACTTTTTCGTTTTAATTCTGATTGAGATGATTTTTTTTTCTATGCGTTGACAACGAAAAGACAAATAAAACTTCACTCATATACCCTATTAAAATTTTTCATCAGCATTGAGTTTTTATTAAAATACTATCTAAATACAAATTCAAGTTTTGACTCACTCAAACACAAACTCAAAAATATTCTTATCTCAAACCATAACTCAAATGTACACAACCAAATACAAACTCAAGTTATAACTTCAACTCAAATTATAACTTAAATTCAACTCAAGAATTATACTCAAATTAAACTCTAAAAGAACAAGCCCAAAATTAGTATCACACACAAATTTAAAGCAGAAAATAATTGATTCATAAAGCAGAAAATTAGTATCCACATATTTGCTTAAGGTTTCATAAAGAATGCATTTTGGGCAAATTCTACAAGATTGCACCTGCATTCTTTCGGTATCACCGTAAATGCAGCTATGAGCATATAATTTTCACTTTAACAGCAATAACAGAGTATATAGTTTTCACTTCAAAAAGACAGGATAGAGAGATTTTTGGGGGTCTGCCGGAGAGTGATCTCTAGAGTAGATTCCAATATCTAATCAGTGATATAAAGTTATGTATATTAGTTTGTAATTGCCAAAATAGAAAGCAAAATAAAGGAGTTGTTCTTTTAGAGTATAACTTGAGTGTAATTTTTGAATTGAATTTAAATTATAAAATTAGAACTCGAATTATTTTTTTTTTGAGTTTTTTGGACAAAAGAACATGCCCAAAGTAACTTGAAGAGGAACAGGCAAAACAAGGATCTCAATGACAACAATAATAAGCCAGTAAGCACATTTTTAGCTATGAACTTTCAAAGAATTAAACACCACAACATTAAAATTCCTTTTGTTCATTTGATCATTCCCTCATCCCTTCATAGAATTTTCTAATCATTGAAAAAATTCTAAAGTAGATGAGGGTCATCCTTTTTATTCGTAGCAAAAAAAAAAAATTCGTCATAAAGTTTCCTTTTATTTTACTGATTAGAGTTTAGAATTTAAGTTTTATTACAGTAAAAAATTCTAAAAAATAATCATATTTAATTTTTTTACTACAGTAAAAAACTCTTATATAAAATCATATTTTAACTCAAATTAAAAATTTAAATTAATAAATTAAACGAGCCTAAAATATACAAGACTCACCTCCCACGCTGTAGTTAAACCCATCAAAGTTGCTCATAGAGTCGTAGAGTGCTAAAAATAAAAATAAAAATAAATCAACCAGTCCAAATCAATCAAAATAATTGATAGATTTAGATCAATTTGCGATAATTTATTGGTCGGTTCACTGTTCCAGTTGGTGTACTAAACGATCAAACGTACAAATCAAATCCATCAAAACTTCTTTTTAAAAAAAAGAATGCAAGTACAATTTAATGAGTTGTTTGGTTGTTAAATTTATGTCATAATTTGAATTATAATTTGTAATTTATTATAATATTTTTTCTCATAAAAAATATACATAAATTAAGAATGATTTTGAATCGTGATTTTAAATTATGATTTTAAATCTATCAACCAAACGTAACAAATTTTTGTTTTTAAAAGATGCCGTCTTTCTATTTGTGAATAGTCCGTTTACCAAGATTCAAATCCTGGTACCAAACTTGCGTTCTTTTTACTCAATACTCTGTTGAAAAGCCACGAAAACCACAAAATTAAAAGAGAAGAGAAAAGCGGAAGTCAGGCACGATAGAACCCGCGTCGACAGCGCAAACATTTCCGAAGAATCAATGTATCAAAATCGAACTAGCAATGTCAATGCCAGATCCAAGGTGCTAAAAGTCTTTAAAAGGGGCAGTTCTAGCAGCCACATTGGATAGCCAATCTTTCATGTTGAGACCGACCTTCTTTAATCTCAGACTTTAAGGGCACGGATGATATTGAATTCACGCTGACCTTGTAACAACCCAATTCAAGGGCCATACAGCAGTTTTTTTTTTTTTTTTTTAATCACTAATAAAATAAATAATGATACATGAAGGGTTTAATTAATTCGATAATTCGAGTTTTTAATTTAAATTGAGATGTAACTTTATGTGAACTTTTTACTGTAATAAAAAAATTAGATGTAATTGTTTATGAGAATTTTTTACTGTAGCAAATTTAAATTCTAAACTCGAATCGGTGAAATGAACAGAACCAAAATGCACAAGGTGTTAGGCATGCTAATTGGTAAACACTAGGAGGACAAGTTTCTTAGTCAGTGCGCTGCCAACCTACTGAGGACGTGCTAAGCGCTTCTCGTACATAAGTCACTCTCTTTATAATTGCAGAAACAAAATGATAAACACTAGGAGAAGAAAGATTAAAGTTTTACAATAAGAAGTTTAAACTTGAAACTTAATTAATCAACGAGCTTTTGAGGTCTTTCATGCAGTGATCTCAAGAATAATTTCCAACATACAATCAGTGATTTAAATTTTATGCATATTAGCTTTTAATTGCCAAATAGAAAGCAAAATAAGGTAAGTTGAAGGGGAAAAGGAAAAATAAAAATCTGAACGATAACTACATCACTTGGGTCCAAACACTATTACCAGCAAGTAAACACATTTTAGCAACAAATTAAAGCCTCAACCATTCCTCACCTGCCCTATTAGTTGCAGTGCTTATTATTTGTGGTGTCCAAAGCATTTTTCTTTTCCCACGGCTACGTGCATAATACTTGAAGGCGCCAACTTTTCCTTTTCTATTTTTCTAATAGTTGTTTCCCCATTTAGGATGAAGACTATGGACTCACTAGAAGCCAAAACTCATTCCTCTATAGCATCTTAATTTTTATCTGATACTAATTGGTGAGTATTTAGACGAATAGTCCCCAAAAAGCTAATCTCAAAGGTGTAGAAGATCCAATCAGTCATGGCTTTCGTAAATTCCATTGTTGGAGATATTTGGAACAAGCCAAAACTAGGAACCTGCCGAGAGCAGATGGAATTCCTAAAACCAATTGAGGGAACATGGTTTATGTCTCAAAGAAACGAAGCTCGACCATGAATTCTTGTTGCTTTGGGGAATACCAAGCAATGGCTTTAGCCGAACCAAGGACCTGTAATGCGTGTTCTATGGCAAAAATTGGTTCTTCAATGCAGATATTCCAATCGCGATTCCTCAAATCAATTGTGATTCCCGACTCAACCCTAAAACTGAAAGGCCCTGCAATCTGCAAAAAATAAAACACGAATAATGGTAAATAAACAAGCAACCGATGTTTGAGAAAAGATTTTAAAGGAAAAAAATATTTCTCAGCACAGAAAACCAGCATTAGTTTTAAAATAATTAAGTTGCCTTGATAAGTCAGGCACACTTTTGAAGAAAATACCAAAAAAATTATAGTCAGAGTTGTATGTTGTGATTTAATTCGGTCACCTGCTGCTGAAAAGAAAGGTGTATATTAGGGCAAACAGCCTGCAGAGCATCAAAACTTGGCTGTTGAGAATTGACAAAATCTTGCGCTAAGCGTGCTGCGCCTGAAAGAAATTTGGAACCGGAAGGAAAATCCAGGCGGGCTTGAAATCTGGTAAGATCAAGAAACAGCCGCTGGAAGTTCCCGTGCTGGGCTGTAAATGATACCGATCCAAACATATCTCCAACAAAGGCAGATTTTACTGCACCATAATCGAAATTAAAACCTCTAAAACCCTGAAAAGCTTCTTCTGTTCTTGGCCTCTCCGTATTATCCCCAAAAAAAGCAGTGGCAGCAGCACCTAAATGCATGAAAAGGCAGATTTTCAAATACCATACACACTTAGTTTGGGTGTTGTGCTTTTGAAAGAAGTTCACTTCTACTTGAGAAGTGAAAGCAGAACCCAGCAAGCAAAGTAAAGTCCTAGATTCTCCAAATTACTATATAAGTGCATTGGTGTCCCAGCAAAGTATTTTTGGACATTTTCATCAAACAAACTACTTGCACCGTGTCATGGCAAAGGACTTTTGGAGCATCCAAGAGTTAATACCAACCAGACCCACAGAAAAACTACCCACAACAGTTCAAATTAATAGTTTAGAATTGGTTATGGCACTATAAGATATGTTAAGCATGATCTTACAATTCCAGAATAGATATCATTAATTGTCCTCTAGGCTCTACCAAGCTAAATATATATATATAAAACTTGGTACTTGGTAGTTTACATGATACTACCCCACACTATATAAAACACAATTTAGTGATTTGGTCATACTGTTGGATCGCAAAACTAAAAGGGCTGCTTGATTCAATTTATGCATATGCTAAATACAGTATCTGAATTTGTTCTTCGGCTAAAGGAAAGAGGGCCTATGAATGCAAAAAATGAAGGAGCCAAGGAGGCAACATCTTACCGATGATCCCAGAAGCTGAAACTTGGGGATTTGAAAGGAACATATCGAATGGTTGCACCATTTTCAACTTTGGAGCATTACTTCTCCAAAACTCAATATCCTTCTTAAATGCCAAAGCACCTCTGAGAGACAAACCAGGACGTAGACAAGTGGGCACTCGATCATTCCCATCACTATGAAACCTCTCGGGCGAGCCTGAATTATGGAGTGCAGACAGGTGATAACTTGAACCAGAAGGGGAAGCAACAGAGGCCAAGTCAACCGCAACTAAAAATGGCACATCCCAGTAGTTATTAGCCTTGTCGATGAAAAGTCCTGGCCAAACCGCTTCCACCATTAAATCGTGATATGGAAACTGCAACCACATTGGAACTAAACTATCACTCTAAATGAAACACTAAAATATTAAACACAAACGAAAGGAATCTAATCTGCGCTCAAAGAAAATTTCCATTCACTTCAAAGATTGTGGAGTGCTTAATCTGAACAGTATCTACCTTGTGATGAAAAACTGCTTTCTTCCGAGACAAGTCCTTTTCAGCATATCTGTCTAAACTAACTAGCAGAGTATCATCAGGTGTCAACAACAACTCCGAGCAAAAACCGACAGCGTACAAAGATTTATCCTTTAAGTGGCTTCTAACTTTTTGCAGCCATGAAGATGAAGAGTGTTGAGTATCTCCACTACCCTTCATGGAAGAAACAAATTTCTGCACATTGAACTGACCCACTACTGCAGTAAACCTGCATTACATATTTTTTAACCCCAACAATTTAGCCTTACAAAAAACTAGGTTTAGTGATTGTATATGAATTGTGATATATGAACCATTTGCTTCCATGGATAATCATACATTTAGAGATCCACTTGCGAACTATAAGACTCAGCCAAATTATCACACAAAATCCACACACATTTACACTAAAATTTCTAACCAATTACATAACTATGAGCCTGTTTGGTTGGAGAATTCGTTCTCTGATTCGAATCATGGTTCATGATTCGCTACAATATTTTCTCTCACAAAAAATATACGTAAATTGAAAATGGTTCTAATCTCACGATGAACCAAACGGGCTATATCACTACAAAACCCACTTGTAAACTAACAAATTGAAGAACTATTTCACTAAACATTTCTCGTCTAATTTTGAAATGTACAAAGTTAAAAGCTTTGCTCCATTCAATCAACTTCTGAGTCGACCAAAAAAAAAAAAAATAGAATTTTTCATGTGTAAAGTCGTGTATAAATGTAATGCAACATAATAATATTTTTTTTTAAAAAGAAAAAAAGCCCAAAATAGAAAAATGAGTAAAGTACCAGTTGTGGGCAAAAGGGATGGTGAGAACACGTTGTAAAGCGAAGCCATGGTCGCCGGCGTAGGAAGGAACGAAGGGGGCAGCCATGAAGCGTTGAAAGAAGTCAATCTGTTTGGGCCTCGAAAGCTTTGGGCCTCGAGAAAGACCCAACGGAAGCGTGTCGCCGGGGACGGGCCGGGCCAGCCCGTCGACTGTCCTCGGCGTCGACGCGTCGACCTCCCAGAAGCCTTCTCCGTCCATTACCCATCTCAGCTTCTTCATCGTTTTTTCCGAATCCAACCTTCCCACCTACATTCTTCTACTTTCCTGTTTGTTTCTGAAATTGAGCCAGAAATTCTAGTACCCGCTTTGCATAAAACGACATGTCGTCTTAAACTTCATGCGACAATTTGCTATTAATTTTTCGCTGCGATTTATGGTTATTGTTGCACGATGGTCGAGCAGTCTGACGACCATCCCCTTAGTCGCATGCTGGAAAGCTCTGAAAGATAAAAGGCATTCAAGTTGGGAGTTTTAAGTTTTTACGTAAAATTTTTTTTATAAAATATCATATTTAATTTTTTTTATTATAATAAAAAAATTTTAAAAAATATCACATCTCAACTTAAATTAAAAATTTAAACGCGCGAAGTGAAAACCTTTAAAAGTTTTAGCCAAAAGTCTATAGAATTAAAGAAAAGACCAAAGGATCAAATTCAAATCCAATTTAGTCAAATTAGAAGAGGATAAACCTCATTAAATATCTAAATTCAAACTGAAACATATCAACGAAAATAATTTCCTCAAATTCAGATATTTAAATATGGACATATAGTCGTAAAATCTCCTAATTACATGAGATATTTCTAAATTCAGGAGAGTCTATAAAAAGGATAGAATTTCTCATTTGATTTTTTACGTACAATTTTGTATTCTGAAGAGAGATCATCTATACTCTTGTGATTAATTGCATTTACAAGTAGACATAAGTAAGATAATATATTTTTTTAACAATTAAATTTAAGATTAATTAGTATGTATTTTAAGAGTGATCTTATTCATCTCTATAGGGATAAAACATCACTTCTTATATAAAGTGAGTCCAGTTAGGTTGTCATTTTATTAGTGATAAGGTTTTATCCACGTGAGGATGATTGTCTTAAAAAATCTCTAACCCATAGAGTGCCTCTTTTTTTTTTTTTTCATTTTTCCCTAACTCTTGTCTTATTATATATTCTTTTTTTTTCACTTTTTCTAATTTCATAAATATATTTTCTCTATTTTCCTATTAAAATAAATTCTTCTCATACATATCTCTATCTATTTTTTAAATCCTTTTTTCCCTCTCTCTTTTCATTTTTTTATCATCCTTTTTTCTCGTTCTTTTTTTTTTCCCTTATTATTCATTCTTTTTTGACATGGTTTGTCTCCCTTCCTCCACTAGAGGCTCCTCTGTCTGCGCGTGGGATGCACTCACCATTCTTAGTCATTCGTCTTTATGAAGTTAAATTTTCATAATTAAAGCTGCACCACATATGCCGCATCTGTGAGCTTTTCAGACCGAACCAAATAAACTTCAAGTCACTATACTCTAACGCGTTTTGCACCAAATTTTCAATATTGTTCATATAAACATACTATGAATAATTCAAATAAAAAAATTAAACAAAAATTCACTAAAATAAAATAAAGTCACACCAAATTAAGTAAAAAATAAATTAAAAACAGTAAAATAGAACTAATTTAAAACACACAAAATAAGTTAAAATATTTTTCCATGTCTTTTGCTTCATTTTTTTTTTCACTTTTGTATTCTTTTCTTTTGTGTTTTTTTTCTTCCCACTTTCTTTTAAACAATTTATATAATTGTAAATTTAAAATAAATCACGCGTGGAACGCGCATTCAATACTAGCATATATATATATATATATATTTATATTGCATTGAAGAAAAAATAAATACAAATGATCACAACAACCGAAAGGACCCACATGTTTGTGAAAACTCTCATAGCATTTTACATTTTATGAGTTTATAATAATTAAGGTGTTTTAAATTTTTTTTATACAATATGGGATTGAACTCACAACCTCTCACCTAAACCCCACTCCACCCATATTCCTCAGTGTCACTAGACTAGACCAAGAGGTCTTAAGTGGGTTTTAAATCTTTTTTATAAATAAATAACTGCTGAAATTGTATTTCCTGTTGAGTGGAACAAAATGAAGGTTTCAATAAAAAATCAAACTTGCATAGCTATGGCAGGGAAAAAAACATACAATAAATTTTTCACAGAGAAAGTAAAGCTGAATAAAGTGTTAGAGCAAAATGTTGTCCAACACCCTACCTAGTTGTGTCAAAAGGGCCATGCCGCCCCAAAACGGCCCTTCTAACCCCAGGCCCGTCATAGGCCTGGGCTGGGCCAAGCACAGCCCTGTACAATACAGGGTCGTGCATGGGTCGGGCCTGAGAGAAGACTCTCAGGCCCAGCCCTGGCCCCGTCCCTTGTCCATAAGGGCCAGGGTCGAGCCCGGGCCCAGGCGTTACACGGGCCGGTCCTAGCCCTTTTCAATATGTTGAAGTTCAATGGTCCAATTTATAACCGTTGAGCATGCACCGGTCGATCGGATTGCACTGGATTTGCATTTGTTATCATATTTAATGACAAAAAAAAGGAAATATATCATATGCCCAAAAGGATGTGATTTTATTGAATTAAAATAATATGAATAATTACACATAAATGACTGTCTCGTTAAAAACCTTGCCAAGTAAAACCCTTAGGGAAATCGAGACAAAACTTTAGCGAAGGAAACAAGAGTGCAGTATACAAGGATAATTAAATTACACTGTGGCCAAATTACTTCCAGAATATTCTGTTACGTCTAAGTTTGAAAAATAGTCTAGAAGTGTATCATCTGTATAATGTTGTTTTCGTCTTCTTGCATCTTCTCGGCCTTTCACGCACATTAGCCCCTCCAAGATATTCAAGTACATTCTACTCTTCTTATCATCAAGAATTCTTTTAGTTGCACTAAATGCTTGCTCTGATACTACTGTGGATACTGGAGTTGTCAAAATGTCGCGTGCTATAATCGATAATGTTAGAAAACAAACTTACTTGCTCTTCCACCACTGTAAGATGTTTAGTCTGTCGTCATCAATTACAAAATTTGATTCAAAATATTTGACAAGTTCTGAAGATGGTCCATGTGTTGATGATGATCCCAATGCTTTCTCTTTTCTCTTCAAAAAGCTCCACGATGAATCTTTAGGCCCGAAACTGCTCTTTGACGTCGAAGTTGACTGTTGTTGTTGTCTTGTTCCGTATTTTTTTTCATACAATGCAAACATATGTTCTAACATTTTCCTTGCATCATCAATGGTTAGTTCCATATCAATAGATAAATTATCTGTTGTAACAGACATCAAAGATTGTGTTCCATCTAATTGACATCTAGGATCTAAAATTGTTGCTAATGCATATAAAATTGGACAACCGGGCCAATAACTTTTAAATTTTCTTTCCATTTCATTTATTATGGGTGTAAAAAGATCAGTATCCCTATAATAAATAAATGTCTCATAAATATTAAATAATTGATGCAAAGCAAGATGAGCAATAGGATAATACACACCGGAAAGCAATTTAGTAGCATTGTAGAATACTTCTAAAAATTTAAAAAAAGTACTCACCAATCTTCCAATCTGCATCATAAATAAAATGCTCACCATGCTTACTGTTCACATATGTAGTGATTATCTGTTGATACAGAATAGCAAATTTTAACATTAAGTAGGTGGAGTTCCACCTATGTTGAACATATGTCGGAAGCTTTCTTGGCCTCATCTGGGTATTCCTGAAATATTAGCGAAATTCTTGGAGCCCAGCTCCAGAACTAGAGATGAAAGTCTATAATTTTAGTTAGATGATGAGATATAATTTCAATACTAACTTAGACTACTATGTTTATGATATGACATACACAACGTTGATGGAAAAATTCTCCACCAAAAGGTGGTTTCAAATTTACTTTAAACATGTTGATAGTAACTATGTTTGCTTATGCATTAACAAAATTAATGGTTAAAATTTTATCTTTAATTCCATAAAAATTAAAAATTTCCATAACAGTAAAAAAAATAGCATTTGCATTATGTGGAAAATGACATAAACAAAAAGTAATAATTTACTTTTGCAAAACCCAATCCCTGTCATAATAAGCCGTGACTCATAAATAACCAGTTTTATTACAACCCTCCCAAAGATTAGATGTGCAAGAGACTGTTAAAAGACTTAAAATTATCAACAAGTGATTGGCTCATTGCATAAAAAACTTTCATGCAATCAACTCTAGTTGTATTTCAATTGACCATTTTAAATTGTGGAAAAAATGCAGTCTGAATAAATTCTTCAAATGTTTCATCATCTGTAAAAGACAATGGTAATTTGGCACTAGCTAAGAATTTAGCTAGTGCCTCACGAGCACGTTGTGCATCATATGAAAATTTTGTAAACCTTGATTTGTGAGTAAAAGTGTTTGTTGGGGGAGTCCACACTATGACCTTGGTGTAATGGTAGACATGCTTTCCAATGTCTATCATGATGGCCTGTACCCCCATCTTTTTGTTGAAAAGTGTTTTTTGTAATATTTACAAAGTGCACGCATTTCAATTTCACCTATTTTTAGATTTGGACGTAGCTCCTCTATATAATGTCGCCATGCAGGAGCTGTGCGCGGTTTTTTTTTCTATCGTGAGAATTTTTAGTACATTCGATTTGGGGAGTTTAATTCTCTTATTAATTTGAGAGTTTCTTCTCTCTTAATTATGATAAGCTCTTCACAAAAATAATAATTTAAAACTGATAAAATAATCAATGAGAATTAACTTTTAATCATTTAATGTCTTCAATATAGTCGAGCTTAGACTCGGGCGAGCTTGGGGACGTCGAGAAAGATTGGCCTCAGGCGAGCTTGGGGCTCAGAATTATAGGTACATGAGCCCTCACGTCATCCTTGTTATATTTGCAAGACAAGATGAAATATCAGGATTGGATATCACTTGAAATAACTAATGTGATTGTTTAATTAAATTAATTTTGGAACACAATGTACTGGGATCACAGGAGGTCACATGCCCAGGCACAAGGAGGTGCATAGGGCGTGTGACACAGGTAGAATCTCACAGGGATTCAGTTGCTTGCTCGCCAAGATATCCGGTTTACTTGTTTGATAAGTTTTACAGTCAAATTCAAAAAGGAAAGTAAAGTTTGACTTTATTTAGATTTAAATTTAAGCTAAAATTTGAAACTAGATTAAGGAGGAATTTTTTCACTCTCCTACCTACGATTTGCGCCAACCACAGGGAGGTCTCCCTGTGGTTTGGCCGGCCATATAGTAGAAGGAAGGGAGAGAATTTTATTTTCAAAATTAAATGAAAAACTTTATTTTAATAAGATTATAGTAGTAACCAGTTTTTCGATTGCTTTGTCTTCAAGTTAAAGCAAAGGGGTTCTCCTAGTGTTCTATAAATAGGAGACAATAGTAAATTGGAGTAGAGAATTTTTGCTCTTAAAAATTCTTAAGGTAGCCAAATTTTAGAGAGAGGAAAAGAGAAGAAAAGTTTTTCCAATTTCCAATTTCTTCACATACATGTGTTGATAGTGAAAAGACACAAATTAATGAGCAATATAATCCGATAGTTCTTTATTAGAGCCCACACTATAGGTCTTGCAGATTTCAAGGACTAGACGAGGAAGATTCGGATTTTCTAAAAAAGCTTAGAGCTTAGACTGTTCTTGGTCAAAGACCTCAAGTTATTTGCCTAATCGTTTGCTAGGTATCTATCTTTATAAATTAATATGATTAATTTATTATTATATAAATTAATATAATATATAGAGTATTTAAAAATTTTATGAAAATTTTTATTATACACGATATGCACTATTACGTTTCCGCACACGAAAACGTTTCGAAAACCAACAGATATGACATGAAAATATAAACTTTAAATTGCTAATATATGATTTGATATAGTATAGAAAGTTTGGTACAACAACGGAAATTTTTCAAAAATGAAACGTGGACAAAAGTGCCCTTAGGTTTAGAAAAGTGTGAAATTGCAAAGGACATCCTAAATAAAAGCTGAATTAGGCTTAGATCACAACAAAAACATTGTAGATCTAGATGAATAGAGAAAGTTCATGTTTTGAGTTTTTTGAAATTCTGTGCAGATAAAGAGTTACGCATTCGGAAGATTTGTTGACCAAACTTTAACTGAGGTTAACATGGTCCAAACAATTGGAATTAGTCTTAGGCCCACTCATTGGTGAAGAAAAATCTAGACCAACCCCAAGGGGCAAAAAGTCAAAATTTCCAAGTACGGTCAAAAGAGTAATTTTTATAAAATTGTGGGTCAACCTGTTAAGAAGAGTCCAAAGCCTTGTTAAGGTACTAAGAGGCTTAGAATATCAAACTTATAACCTTTAGGTCACTTAGAAGCGCGTTAAAGGCAAAACGATCATTTTGACCTCAAGAGGTAAAACGGTCAAACAAACGTTGAGCTCTAATTTTTAGCTCAAAGTCCTTAAAGGGCATAATATTTGGGATAATAAATACCTTAGGTTTATGATTTTAGATAGTGGTGGAAATTCGTGTCACGTGTCGTGTTTGTGTTGTGTTTTAATAATTTCTTTCTAAATTTACAGTCAACCCGAACACGACCTGTGACATGAAATTTTTTAAAAACCACAACACGACCACTTTACGGGTTGACACGATACGACACGAAAATGACTCATGACACGAAATTGACCCGTGAACCCAAAATTGACACGAAAATTGTATACTTTTATTTAGTTTTTTACATATTAGACATATAACACACTAAAATACAATAACATCCATTGAAATTAAGCAAATAATAGTATAAGATTTTGAGTATAACTATCATGATATCACAAGTTCATAATAAAATAAAAAATATGTAATGAAAAATATATGTATTTTTTAGTTTTTTACGAGTTTCGTGTAGTGTTCGGGTTAGGCGGGTCTAACCCGAAATTGACCCGTTTTATTCGTGTCAATTTCAGGTCGACCCAATTCTAACTCGAACCACTTTTTTCTCAACCCTAACCCGCGAAATTCGTGTCATTTTTGAGTCGTGTTGTCGTGTCGTGACTCATATTACTGACTCTAATTTTAGAATTGTCAAAACTTGCTAAGGGAAAAATGATAAATTTTTCTCGAGGTTAAAACTGTCAACTGAAGCCGAAAACTCTGGTTAACTTAAATTCCTTTAGAGGACTAGCACTAGATTGACCCAACTAAGTTAGAGAGCCCTAATAGGGCTAAAGGCCCAAGTAAGAAATAAGTAACCTTTAGTTTGACATTGAAACCTATTAGATGAGAAGTTGAAGCCCAAGTCCATAAGGCCCAATTATGGACCCAATTCTATCTTTGGATATGGTTAGAGAAAATTACAAATTCTGCCTGTATCGGAGTTACTAAAAGTATTCCTTTCAAAAAACTATACCCTTTGACTAGTCCTAATTTAAAATATAAAAATATATGGATTAATGTTGAAGGGTAGAAATAAAAGGGGACTCTATTTCAAGGGTATTTTTAAAAATTACCCATATGTTTAAGGTTAGAAATGAACCTAAGTAGACTTAGAGGGTAACCTAGTGAATCTTAGAGGGTAACCTAGTGGTGGATTCAGGCTATACTTATATGAAATTAACTTAATAAATTTTCAAGACTCTAATAAATTAATGAGACTTATTAAAATAAATAAATAATTAATTAATTAATGATAAATGATAAATTAACAATTAGCAAAGGATAATTAACTTAAGTTGGTTAATAAAACTTAATGGGAGATTAACCTATTAATTAGTAAATTTCATTAATTAATCTGAAAAATGTGATTTAAATCATAAGAATGATAATTAATTGAATTAATTAATCCTAATAGACGTCCACTAAACCACTAAGATATGAGCAAATTAAGTTAAGAACTTTGATAATGAACTAACAGCCGATAATCAATATTGTTTGAACACATAACGTACAACTTTACAAGAGTAGGTTGTTATAAATGCTAAGCGCTAACACCTAGGTGAGTACAGCATGAATAATTTTTTTTAAATATATGTTTAAGAAAATGTTTAGTGGATTGTACATATATTCTCTGTGACATGTATACAGTGAATGATGTTTTAATCGTTTTACTTAAGTAGTTAACATATTATACTTTTGTGACATGATCATAATCACATGTTCTCCTAAGTAAGAAAAGTTAAAGTAATGATGATGAGTTCAGTGCCGTGTCAGACTCCGACCATGGAGAATGGGAGGTTAAAATTCATCCGACCCTTGGTCACTAGAGATTAACTAGCCTAATTAGGAAATATCCATAGTGTCGTCGGATAGAATATTTTGGTAGCTCCCCCAATACCTCATTGGTCGTGTGCACTCGATACGTGCACAAGGCCTAATGATCATAGATGGAATAAATCATAAATGGTCATGCATTTTTATTTGTGATGATATGTTCAAAAAATATTTTGTGAGTAATATTTATACTTGATGAGCTATTGTTCACTAAGTTTGTTCATGATGTAGGTAAAAAGCCTACTACACACCGATGCTTCGCAACATAAGGTGTGTATGGTGAAGGGACGGCTGTGGATACTACCATATAGCTAATTTTGGTTATGGTTAATGTGACTTTTGAATTTATAAATTAAGTAATTAAGATTTTATGATATGGGCATGAAGACTACTTTAGGACATGCTTAGTTATGTTAAGAATATTCAGAAATGACGTGTACTTAAAATGTTATGCCTTGCTAATATTCTAGTTCGAATTTATGTTCTAATTTACTTAAGCTAATTTGCCACTTTTATGAACGAAAACTAGTTTGTCTTAAAATAAGTTTTCAAAAAAATAAAAATAAAAAATTTTAGTATCCAAGAATTTAGTTTTGAAAGTTAAACCCGTTTTCCGTTATAAATTAATAACGATTAAGAAAGTTGGATCGTTACAACTGTATTGAGCGGATCATTCGTTATTAAGTCTCGATACTTATATTTCGTTTTGTGTTTTATTTGTCTTTATTGGTGGAGTCGAGTTTCTCTATAATTATCGGTCATTTACAAAAATGTTACTTATTTTATTTGAAATGAAAGTTTTCTCTTAAAAAAAGGAAAAAAAAAAAAAGAAAAAGAAAAAGGAAACATGATCTCAAAAGGCTCTCGAAAGTAGCACTATAAAGTGGTCAAAGCCATATCAAAACAACGCAACCAATATAACAATAATGTATACATAAATATGATGTGAGATGTAATGCTATGACGCAACTCTATCCTCGAAATATATATATATATATATATATATATATATATATATGGTCAAGCATCCATATTTGACTTCACCTTGTTAATTGGCCTTCTCCTTAGTCCTTTCCCTTGGATTGTGGACATGCATGTGACTGAGTAGCCTCATTTGAATGGAGATTCTTCTTCACTTACAAAGACCAGTTCAGAGCAACACACAACAACTATGAATTTCTTGCAAAACAGAAAAAACGAAAAGAAAGCATGTCATGGTCTTACGGTTGGGTGTATTCCGGTCCTTCTATGTGGGATCATTACCTTCTTTTTCTTTTTCTTTTTTTCGTTTTCCTTTGGTTGTCTTTGAGTTTTACTAAGACCAAAGTTTTCACTAAAAACTCGTGTGTTTAATCACGTGAATTTTATGAGTTGTTTAAAAAGTATGCTGGGGGATTTTTTTTTTTTTTTCTTGCGAAATGGCCTTCGTATTTTTGCTTTCTTATTTTATTATTATTACTTTTTTTTTTTTTTTTTTTGCTGAAATGCTAAATTGACCTAAATTTTGAGATATGTTTATGTATACATTAAATAAACAAAATACAAGGAAACACCACGTAATCAAGACTCCATGGCCCAATGGATAATGTGTTGGTCTCCGGAACTAAGATTTGAGGTTCGATCGAGTCGAATATCTTATTTATTTTGCTAGCTAAATTTTCATCTTTCTTACAATATTTTTTGTTTTTAATCAAAGACATATTACTTTCATTGATGATTCAAGTAACAAAATTAAATGCCAAATTTTTGACATAGCCAAATGGCATAAAAATATTTTGCAAGAAGAACACTGATATTTTATTTATAAAAACTAGCAAGGGGGACCAAAAAAAAAGAAAGGGGGTGCAGCAAGTACACAAGCGAATAGACCCCAAAACTTACTTCAGTTCTGAAAGCAGTTTTGCTAATTCTAAATACATTCTTGATCTACCCTCATCTGTGCGATCCTCTAAACTGAACACCACCAATTAACAGGAAAACCCTTGAGTAACATAACATGCTAGAAATAGAATGGCCTCATCAGTAGCAACATATACCACATTGGCATTACTTTTTTCTTCGCTCTACAGCACCTCTCCTTGTGACCAAGAAAAATGCTGGCTTATCAGGATGCCGAAAATTCAGAGACCGCATTTTGTTCCCGTGGTGATGTTTCGGGTCAAGGAGCTTGGAAGTATTGCAAGGGACGAAAACCTTGAGTAGCCAGGTTTTGATTTCAAGCCTTTTGAAAAGCGCGGGATGAGACTCCGTGTAGAAGCCTGACGAAACCCAAGAAGCTAAGCTTCCCGTCGGAATGTCTGATCCAGTCTTGGAGAACTACATGAACGGGTACTGATGGGCTAAGTCCAAGTTCCTGAAGAAAAGAAAGAAGAATTAGTACTATAAAGAATTTTAGTTAAGGTTTCATATAGTGTTAATATTCTGCCGTGAGATTATCAGAAAGAAAGTATTCTATGAAGCAAAATGGTTATTGACCAAAAGCTTTTAAGACTTTCAACTTGATAGCATTCTATGAAAATATACTTTTTACGTATTTGCTAAGGATGGAGAATTTGGTACATACTGATGCGAGTTCCTCAATCATAATTGGTCTGTTTCCATCTTTCTCAAACAGCTCATAGGCCCGCCTTGCATGTTGCTCCCAGGTTTCCATTCCTTCCAGCTGATGTACACTTATGGCAGCAGCACAGAATTCTTCGAAATCCAGTTTTCTATATTGAATGGAGCTAATCTGTACCAGAAAATAAACAACATATATACATAAACATGTAGCAAAATATATTTGAGAAATAACTACCGATTATGAAAAAACAGAAATAATTGCGCAACATTACCATGTTTACATAATCTGTAACTCGCGAATCCTTCATGGCATCAGTCGAGTTCTTCACAACGCCCTGATAATTCTGATTAGTTCGAATAGCTCCAATTAACATTGAAATGAAAAAACATAGTGAGTTAAGAGAAAAGCTTACTGTCTTAAAGTTCTGCATAGAGATGAATCCACTTTTGTTTGGACCCAACAATGTAAATTGGTCCCGCAAATACGCTAGCTGTGCTACTGATAATGTCTTAGCAAGAGCCTGTCACAGGAGCCAAAATTTTTCACTCCAGTTTATCTATAGCTCTCAGATTTAGGATCAAGCGTTTATGTAAAACTCATCAAATGAAAAGAGAGAATATCTATGACAAATAAATTCTCTAATTTCACACCAGGTTATAGTCTGTCGTTGTCATGCAATAGAAATTAAGGGAATAGATACAAGATACGTACAAATAAGTAGCAAAAAGTACCAAAATAATTGATCGTGTCATACATAATAACACTACATACCCCTAATGCTGATTTCCGTAGCGAAGATGAGCATACATAAGCTTTTACAAGCTTGTACACTATCATGTCCGTCGGTATCTTAACATCGTGATAATTGGCTAACCATGGATGACCTAAATAAAGAAATAAGTTGTCAGTATTCTAGCTCAAAAAACTTGCTTCATGCATCCAAAATTTCATAACAATGGCGTACGTCATGTTACTTATGTTTTAAGTTATACAAGGAAAAGAAAAAGAAAAAAAATCTTGAACCGTGAAATGTTTTTCATTAACAGACATGAAAACAGAGTAGAAACAATGAAAAAAGCTAGTTGCGCACCCATCTTTTTGGTAACATATAAAGAATGGCCAAATCAGGACTCTAAAAAGATTCAGTGACTTACTTAGAGCCTGAGCAGCTGTTAGCCTCTTACGGAAATCCTTGTTTAAAAGTCTCTTTACAAAATCTATTGCATCAGAAGATAAAGACGGCCATGGGGCCTCATCAAAGCTTGGATCTGCCTTGAGAACAGCTCGGAAGATACCAGATTCAGTTCGTGCCCAAAACGGTCGACTTCCACATAGAAGGATGTAAGCAATCACACCGATACTCCACATGTCTCCTTCTGTCCCATACGACCTATGTAGAACTTCGGGAGCTACATAATATGCACTTCCTACAATATCATTCAATCTCTCATCTGCAACCCCCCGCAGAAAAGATCTGTTAGACCCGTTTACTCTCTTAATACGAAGGGTAATCGAGTAACTATACTGTTAGACCAGTTTACTACTTTAATACAAAATGTAATATGAGTTACTGTCCTAACCTGGCTTTACGTAGTCAGAAAGTCCAAAATCAATGGCCTTCAGTGTGGCATTCTCCTCCTTTGATACAAAAAGAAAATTCTGAAGTAGAAAAGAAAATATCAGTATTAACCAAAAGGAGAAATGCACAACAGAATCACCAGTGTATACAGAGTGATATATCCATATATGCACCATTGGTAGGACCAACAATCAGTGCATTACATGCATTGTCCGGATAACTGAATCATTCAGAGGGTAAGAAAAAAATAAACAAAGAAACAAAGAAAGAGAGAAAGAGAACAATAGAAGTACAATTACTTCGGAATTAATCAAAACTATAGACGATGCAGTACCATATGGAGTATCTAGAAGACGATAAGTGTTCCATATGTTCAGCTAAAGAATAATTTGTGTTGACTTTCAAAGAAAGTAACATGATTCAGATACCAGAGTTTTGTATCTTCAAAAAAACAGAAGAGAAGAGACAGAGACGAAAGCTACAAATGAAAATCTTCTGCAAGCAACAATACCTCTGGCTTGAGGTCACGGTGTACGACGCCTTGGAGATGACAGAAAGAAACCACACTCAAAATCTGAACCATAACAGCCTTTGCATCTTCTTCAGAATATTTTCCCCCCCTAGTAAAAACAACAGAAACTTAGCCAGTGAGATAGACACAGAAAAGGCCAATAGTTGGCGGTAAAGAAAGCAGTGTGTTTTCTTTTGGAAGAAGATGAATTTCCATTAAAAATATGGTACCTTGAAAGAATTCTGTCCAATAGTTCACCTCCTTTGCACAACCTGGAAAACAAACATTTATACAACAACTCAAAAAGTTTTACTAATAAGGCCAAATAGCTTGCAGAAGACTTGCATATTCCCTAGTGTAAATAAATTGAAAAACTTAAGCAGAAAAAACATTGAAGAATACAACCTAATTAAGAAACTGGCTCATTTAGTGTTGACAGAAACAGACAGTAAGTTCAAATTTTTTCAATGGTTCTAAAAGCTATCATGGATTCCTTGTGTACAACTGGACAATTTCGGACCTACTCCACATGTAGCCAAATGAACGATACATGATCACATATTTTAATCCTTTCTATCAAAATCATTAAGCAATAACATATTGCTTGGGAACAAGGAAAGGAAAAGAAAAGGGAAAGGAAAATTTTCTATAATCTAACATACTCCATCACCACATAAACATTGTCATCATCTTCATAGGCATCATAGAACTGCACTAGGTTCTTGTGCCCCGTCAAAGCACGTAGTATCTTCACTTCTCTCCTGACATCCTCAATTGCAATTGCTGTCGTCATCTGCAAAGACATCTTTCATAAGAAAAAGACAACAGAATTCGATGTTTTCAAGGTGCATGGGCAAAAACCTAAACTTGTCATTAATAATAGTGTCTTAGTACTTCAGCCCCAATGTCATGGAAGTAACTAGGCAGTCAATAGATATTTGCGCGAAAACGACATTAGCAATGTATAGAGAAAAATGTCATGATCATTGGCACATAAACAATACTATTACTTTTTCTCAAATTAAGCCAAAACAAACGTTAAAACTCAATGCTCTTTGGTCAATAGAAATCACCAATGCTTCAATTATTTCACAAAATTAAGCCATCCTACATACATAGATGCTTTTAAGAATATGAACTATAACATAATACAAAGCATAAAGAGAGTCCACAATGCAAAACTATTGAAAAAAAAAAAGGGGGTCACATTTCAAGGTCAAGTTGAAGAAACTTCTAAAGATAATCTATAACCCTCTTCACTTGCAAATAAAAAGAAATCTAATCAAACTTCCATAAGAAAACACAAGAGCAAGCAAATGTCATTCCCCAGTTGAATAAAAAAAAAAAAAAAAAAACCAAATGAACTTAATGAACACAACCAAGATCACAAAACTAACAAAAGAAAAATAAAAATCAGACCTTTGATTTTGGAATGACCTTGACAGCCACATCCATTCCTTTCAAACTCCCTTTCTTTGCCTTAGCCGAGCAAGTATACCCAAAATGCCCTCGTCCCACTTCTTCACCAAGTTCATAATGAGCTCCAAAATGCTTGGAGAATCCAAAATTCTTGTCCAAACCAACATCACACTCACTTCCCTCAGGTATTGAGGCCTCATTGGGCTTGATGGAGCCATGTCTTCGGGCAAGCAATGCCCGGATATGCTTCGCCGGTGAAGGAGGTGGAAATGGTCTTTTGAAGATTCTCAAGGGCGTTGAGCTAACACTTGAATTGGAATTGGAATTTGCAGGTGAGTTCTTGAAGAGACTTGGGAGAGGACTTGGGCTGTAAAATGGAAAGTTTGAGGATTTTCCTGTCTGGGAATTCGTTGGAGGAAAGTTTGAGTCTTGAATTGTGGTGATCTCGGATTGAGATTGGTGGGTTTCGATGGGTTTTCCATGACAGAGTCCCATGGAATCAAAAACCCAGAAAGGAAATTACCAAAAAAGAAAAAAAAAAAAAACAGGAATTTTCAAGGGATTGGAAATGAAGATCACAGGATTGTAAAGTTGAGAACTTGAGATGGGAAACAAAAAAATAAAGTGTACAAATTTAGAGTTTTAGACCATAGTTTGAGGCTCAAGAAAGGAAATTTTGGCAAAGGATCAAGCAAGCACATGAATATGGAAGAATTCCCTGGAGAGAAAACCAAATTCCGAGGGGAATTCTGAGGAACCCCAACTGGGAAAAATTCAAGCTTGGCAAGTTAGAAGGGAAAGGAAAAGGAAATCAGCTTTTGTGATTAAACAAAGGAATGGCACATGCTAGAGAGGAGAGAAACCCATTAAGGGGTGATCAAAAGCAGAAGCAAAATATAGGTGAGGTAGGGAACATGAAAATGATATGAGAAGAAACACTCAGTTAAGAAAATAAAATTAAAACAAAAAAATTCCAAGAACAAGGAAGGAATAGGAGGTATAAAACAAAAAAAGAAGAGAGAAAAAAAAAAGTGAGGAAAAGATGCTTGGCAGGGGCTGCAAGAAAAGAAACCCAAGTTTCTACTTTTTTCTGCTTTATGTAAGCTTTTTTTTTCTCTCTCTCTCTCTCTTTCTTTTTTTCTTTTTTTTTTTTTTTTGGGTTTGATTTGGGTCGCTGGTTTGTGTGGCAATATCACTTTTATTAAGGGGAGAAGTCTGTTAGACTGTTACTCAGTTCTTTCTTCTTCTTCTTCTCGTTCTCCTGATCTTCTCTCTAGTCAGTAATAATAATAATAATAATAATAATAATAATAATAATAGAAGTGGGGTTGGGTTTCGGTTCCTTCCAGCCTGTCCTTTTTTTATATTGCAAAAAAAAAATAAAAACAAAAGAAAAAAACAAAACTTTAGATTTATTGCTCATTCATATGTGAATGTGAGCATTTAGAAATAGGGATGTTTAACAAACTGAGTTTATGGTGTTTTTTTTTTTTTTCAGCTTTGACCTGCTTTTGTTGGCTTTGTATGGCCTTGTCCTTTTTATTCATCATTTTCCTTTCTTACTTATAATATATATATATAGATATAAATATATCTTTCTAAGAAAAATAAATCAATTTTGATAACCATTTGATGAATTATGAATGTGAGTCTCACATTAACTTATTGCATAAAATAAATGATAATGATTGTTGACATTGTTCTTAACAAAACTTCTCTTACATTTTTATATGAATATACATTTTTATTCCCATCAGGATAGTACCTTTTGATCAGTTATTATAGGTGGTTAAATACACTTCTTTTTTTCTTTCAAGACGTTTGGTTCATGAATTAGAATCATGTGATTAAAATTATTTTTTATTTACGTGTATTTTTTATGAGAGAAAATACTATAGCGAACTATGAACCATGATTCAAATCCTGATTTGAATTCTCCAACCAAACATCCCCTTAGTGTATTTGCTTTTAGAGATTGCTTAAGCAGTGAGGAATATATTCCTCATCTATGGAATTCTTCACTCCAAGTTGATGATAAGATTTGATTGTAAATGTCAATCTTTGGCATGGTTTGAAAATAAACTGGATCAATAACTTTCCACGACTAAACTTTGCTATTAATAATTTGCAGGATACTACAACAGAGATGCTTAATAAAGTTTTACAATTAGTCTTATTATCAAACAATATATCATGCAAATCTACTCAGATGATTTGTAGTTATGTTGCCCATATCACTTTGGCCTTTTTGCTCAAAAGCAGGCACAGCAACTTTTATGTCTCTAAATAGGTGTCATTTACAAGCATTAAGAATAATAAAAATAACTTTATTCTTTAAACCAGAATTTTATGACTCAGTAACAAAAAATGCCTTATCGATAGGGTTATGATTTTTATAGTCGGATTTATATTAGATTCTATTAGTTTTGTATACTTTTCTTTTAACATGATTTTAATTGGATTTAATGTTAAAAATATTTTTTTATATATATAAATCCACTCGGTATATAAGAAGCTTTCACCAATTGGACTAATACGTGAGACTCGGCTATTTATATTTTATTGCCACAAGAAAGGTGCAATCTTTTGTCATGTTATATGTTGTAAATATTAATGGATAGACGGCGTGATAATCCATGTTAACTATAAAGTTTTTTTAATAACAAGATATGAAAATGACCCGCCAAAAAAAGGGGACAGTGAATATTAGACATAAGTAATCTGCAAAATGGTTTGGTATTAGTGGATGGTGACCTTAGACCTATGAACCCTGCAATCTCAGTTACTTTTCTCTTTTTGGAGTTAAAAATCTAACCTCGCCTTACTCATCTATTCCCTTATGTATGGGTCAATTAATTAGACTATCTACTAAAAGTTTTTACTTTTTATATTGATTCTAAATGCAAATTGCCAAGTAATAAAATTGATTAAGAAGTTGGTAAAACTTAACAGTTTATGGAATGTTAAGTTAACGTATGTGCTAGATTGTGAATTTATCTCACAAGGGCTTGTTCTTTTAGAGTTTAACTTGAGTATAATTCTTAAGTTGAATTTGAGTTATAACTTGAGTTGAACTTGTAACTTGAGTTTGTGTTTAGTTGTGTACATTTGAGTTATGGTTTGAGATAAGAATCTTTTTGAGTTTGTGTTTGAGTGAGTCAAAACTTGAATTTGTATTTAGATAGTATTTTAATAAAAACTCAATGTTGATGAAAAATTTTAATAGGGTATATGGGTCGGGTTTTATTCGTCTTTTCGTTGTCAACGCATAGAATAAAATCAGAATTAAAACGAAAAAGTTATAGCATTTTTAAGAATAGAAAAAATACTGTTCATTAATTTGAGTTCGAGTTTCTGAACTTGAGTTGAAGGGAAAACTTGAACTCAAGTTTTAGTCTTAAACTCGAGTTTGAACTCGAGTTTAAACTCCATTTTAAACTTAAAAAACATGAATTCGAATAAAATTGTAACTCGAGTTACATTTTTTTGAGTTTTTCACTCAAAAGAACGAGACCTGAGTTACTGAGATGTTCATATGTTTATATGTAGTTTAGGTCCAACTTTCTTATTGAGCCAATTTTTAGAGATTAAGTTCTATTCAGGGCTTATTTAAAGATAGTATAAGAGCTAGATTTTACAGGCAATAGTGGGTTTTGGAGTTTAGATCCGAGTCTTGTGCATTAGGTGTGAAAGAGGGTGTTAAATTGTGAATTTGTCCCACATCGCTAAGTCATTGGATTGTTGGAATATTTGTATGTGGTCTGACCTATATATGTATCTGGATTCTAGAGGTAATATAAATTGGGTGTAGCAAGCTTGTGAACCAAGCTCAACTTTTTTTTTTTTTTTAGAGGAAATGGGAAATATCATTAAACCGAAAAGTAAAGTTGCATGTGACATAAATGGCCGAGTAATACAAGGCATCTCTCAAAGTAGACCGGCTCTATCAATAACCTAATCACGCATTGCGAGTAAAACGTATATCAGAGTTCAATAGGGCCCGTTCACTTTGTGCCTTACACTTGAATAAGGCGAATTCGAGTTTTTTTTTTAGGCTGAAATACGCGTTCGTTTACTCAAATTTGAGTTTGAAATTTGAGTAATAACTCGAGTAGGTAAACTTCACCGTCCCCTCAAACTCCCATTACTCGAGTCATGTTCTACAGTGTAGATTCCTGCTTTTCTGACGTTTCTTCCTGCTGGAGAAAGCTTATGCCTGCTCTGCAAAAAGCTTATGCGACTCCCCTCATTTAATTAATACATTCTTCCCTTGTTCCCATCTCCAACCTTAATCTTCTTCTTCTCCGTTCACGTTCACTGAAAGAAAGTAAATACCAACAAATTAAACCACCATTTTTCTCTAAACTCCTCTTCTCTTCGCTTTGAACCCTAAACTGAAAAACTCTAGCTCTTATTCACAATTCACAACACCCAAACCAAATCAAATCGAAGAAATCACATTGACTCAGTCGTCGTCGTGAAGCATCCCCGTCGGAAGCACTTCTCCGCCTCCGCCATAGCACATCACCCAGTTGCAGAGCCCTCCCCTCTTGCCGTTGGCTGACACGAGCAAGAAAAACTCTCTCATTTCTTTAGAAAAAAAAACCAGAGCATCATTGTGGAAGAAAGCCTCTGAATGCCTGGGTTTGATTCATAACGTAAATGTTTGGAGGTCCGACACGATGGGGAAGCGACTTCGGTTGGTTTGCCAGTTGGCGACGCGATTGGCTGGGTTCGAGAAGTGGGCGGAGCGATTGGTTAGGTTTACGAAATAGGCGGCAGAATTGGGAGGCGGCTTGGCTGGGTTCTGAGGCGCAGTGGGGTTGTGGGTGGGGATGAGGATGGACGGCGGGATATTGGGTAAGGATGGGCTGCGGGGTCACATATTTGACTGTGAAAACTGATTAGGGTTTGGGTTTAATTTTTTGGTCTGCAACTGCAAGTAAAGCCAAGAGGAAGAAGAAGATTTTTTTTTTTTGGGTTTTTTATGATAAATATATTTCTTAATTGACTTTATATCAATTAATTGGAGTTTGGTATTTGTGCAAGTGAACACAAAATTCAAGTTTCAAAAGTTAAATTAGTCAACACCTAAACACTAAACTCTAAATTTCAAATTACACTCAAATCTTTTGAAACTCAAATCTAGTAACTCGAATCATAAAATTTGAGTTAGTAAAGTGAACGCCCCTAATTAAAAGCACCTTGACACATTAAGAAACAAGCACACATGACGTTCTTTTAATAAGACCCCAAAAATTAAAAGAAACATCTGATCAATTAAGGGTCATGACAATGTAGCACAAAGGCTACCATCTCCTCTTCAAAGGTGTCCTCGACAACCTGGCGGTTGTTCGGTCTCTGCTTTTAGGGGCGGGAATACTTGGTCGTTGGGGTATCTAAACTAACAAACAGACAATACCATAAATAGCGAGCTCTTACAAATTGGACACACCAAAAAATGGAGACCACCTCTGTTATTACAACCACAAAACAGAGACAAACCAAACCCAGTTAGGTGGAAAACAAACCCGCCATTATTGAAAAACTAAATAACTAAAAAGGTGAGAGGGCTCGGTCTTGTGCGAAACCCAAAACGAACGACACCCCATCCATCAAGCGAAGATTGGAACAGGCAGAAAGCAAGGAGTTGGAACCATAGCAAAAGAGTGAAGACGATTATGGTGCATACACCACCATCACAGCCACCAAGCTAAGACCCCGACACCACACACCCATCAAATCAGGCACGTCGCCATAGCGACAAGACCCTAACACCACACACCTATCAAAGACCACAAAACATGACTGCCGCACAACCATGTCGTTGTCCTCACCGTCAAGACACCCAACGAGATTATGACACCCCCACAACACCGCTTGGACATCGAGGACAAAGCCTCTAAAGGAGCGACGCCATCGTAGGACAAAGAGCCCTATGAGTGATGGCACCATTCCCCACTAAGTCAATAAAATGCCACGACCACCGAGCAATGGAA